GATTTGCAGAAATAAGTCAAAAGCAAACGAATTGTTTTATGTTTGACTTGTTTTTGAAAATCACTAAAATGGACATGTCTCGTTTTGAATAGTCACTCCTCAATTAGACTAATTTAGGGGAAATTCAATTTCCATGTTGATGATTTTTAGGTTAGGTTCCACTGACAGATGACATTATTATTTACGGCGGTGTATAATATAATCATTGAGTAAAGATACTCAATGATATAATAATACATCGTACGGGAATCTATAACTAGCACTACGGTTTTCGTATTATTCATCTTCTACGGGAGGAAGGGAGGAAGGAAGAAAGGCAATCTATAAATCAGGCTTAATGATGACATTTTGTCTTCTGCCAGTGGAACCTAACCTAAAAATGAGGTTATATTTAAATTTTAAATATAACCTCATTTTTAGGTTAGGTTCCACTGGCAGAAGACAAAATTAAATTTTAAAATCATATTTGAAAGATACCTAACTAATCCCGACGATATGTAGCCTTTCTATCCAGGCTTATAATTGTTATACGTTTAAAAAATAAACAATGATTTTTTAAAATATGTTGAAAATATTAAAAACAAAAATTTAACAAATAAACCTTGTTTTTGATTTTCGTTCCTTGGTTATTATTCTATGTTTTCCGCTTATACCTTTTTTCTTATGGATGTTTTTTCTGCCAGTCGCATTTTGTTTGAAAAATTGATTATAAAACCATAATATTAATATTTTTGATTTTTCTATGTATAGACCATTCAAACCGTAAAATTCTCCCACATTTCGGGCAATACGCTAATTTAATTTTTTTTATCATTTAGAGGGCTCCCCAAAACCATTAAATCTGGGTTTTCGGATGAATCCGAAAACAAAATGGTAGGTAGTAATTAAATAAAATAATTAATTAATATTTGCTATAAAATAGCTTATTTCCCGAAATGTGAGATAGACCTAAGTACTTTTTTCGACAGTGGTCTAGTGGCTAGTGCTGCTGACTACAAGCCGGAGGTCGTGGGTTCGAATCCCACCAGGGGTATGGCTGTTTATTTGTGTTTGTCCTATTGTGTAATAGTCCTTTGGAGGGGACTTCAAGCCCGCGGTCCGTTCCTACCCCTAGCCCGCACAAGCCATTCAGTTGGCTTATGGGACTTCTTAAGAAGAAAGGGTGGAACTAAAAGAGCACGATAATTTAGGTATAAAATTTGGATTTGTTATAAATCCGTATAAAATCCGTATTGCCCCCAAAATCCGTATGAAAATCCGTAAATTTTCCCAATACACTCGAAATTCCGTAGAATACGGAAAAGTCCGTATATCTGGCATCACTGAGAAAGCGTCACTTTAAGCAGTGTTGCCGGATGAATTTCATAAAAGTTCCCGACCAAAAATAACAAAATACCCTATTTTACTTGCCAGGGTAAGAAAAATGTTTTGTTTATAAATTTTCTACCGTATCCGTTTTATTTTAAAAAATTAATAAAATTGAAGGATGGTAAGAGGGTAGAATAAAATAATTTGGTAAATATACAATAATATTTGCTGAAAATACCCGATTTTCAGGTAAAATAATCGCAAACGGCAACACTGCCTAAAAGCCAAACATTGAAATATTTCTGAAATATTTCTGACATATGTTGTGCTGTCACTGCTGTGTGGGATGCACTTGCATAGTTAAGAGAAAAAAAAGGTTATAAATTTAAATTATGGCACTATGACATATGTCATGATATCAAATGCATTTCTGTGAAATCACCTGGAGCTCATTGGCTGAATCATTGCTGAGCTCATCCTGAGTTCTTGATGAGATCATTTGTGAAATTAATTTCACAAATGATCTCATCAAGAACTCAGGATGAGCTCAGCAATGATTCAGCCAATGAGCTCCAGGTGAGGTCCAGGTGATTTCACAGAAATGCATTTGATGTCCTAGTGAGCTCACTGTGAGCTCACGCTATGATTATCACCGAGTGATTTTTTAATGATTCATAGATGTTATCTGGGAAGTTTTATTTTGAAAGGACACAGTTTATGCAGACAAACAGGCACCAATACCATTACTACCTAAAGCTTGCAGCACGTTATTTCTTAACAAATACAAATACTTAACTGTAATAATGTTTAAATACTTCAAACATATTTAATTTAAAGTAAAAAACTGAAATACTGTAAATACTCAGTTAATATAAAATAATATATATAAATAAATAATATAAAAGGAAACAAATAAGCACCCCAAAGACCTTTAAGGAACCAAATACCCCAGCTACATAAAATTTTAAAAGTATAATGAAAAAAACATACATATACATACATAATATATTATATACCTAACAAACATAGAGATAGGCGAGCGCACAAGCATAAGGAAAATTACAAAAATCAGACTTCCTCAAAATTCCTTATTTAACCCATCCAATGAAGCCCTTTACCATATCACTGGAATACAACCCATACAAGAAAGATTGGAATACCTAGCAAAAAAATTTGCCAACAAACCCGAAAACCTTAATGTGATGGAACCTTTGATTCTTAAAACACAACTAGAGACAACACCAAGGAGAAAATACCCAGAGAAATCGTTGTATGACTCACACAGGCAATTGACAGAAGATTAATGAAGATACTAACAATATATTTAATTATAACATTTTTTTTTTTTGTAAAGTACAGAACATAAATTAAAATATAGTATTTGTTATATACAAAATTGTAACTGGGCCGGAAGACGAAAGTCGTTAGCCATTTGGATTTCCAATAAAGTGTATTATTATTATTATTATTATATTATATACCTATAGCTAAAATTAAACATTTAATTCAATTTTTTTTATTTCTCCTCTTAACCTTCTTTCTTTTGCCCTTCTCAACCAATCTGCAATTCGTTGCTCAGCCTCTTTGTTATTAATTGAATGCTCATATTTCTGTGCACATTCTGAAATAAAAATTATATTGTTAAGAAAAAGTTTCCAGGTAACTACCAATATAGAAACATGACCCACTCAGCTGCGGGTTCGATGCTTCTATAGTTGGATAAAAAAAATTGGAAATATTCTTGTATTTTAAGTGGGGTAAAAAAATATAAAAAAAATGTGCAAAATCAAAAGGGGTTGGGTTTAAAAGTCTATTTTTATTTACCGATTATTGCTTTGCCTAATGATAAGCTTCCAAACATAGTTTTTCCTTTTTTCCCTAAGAAGGAGAACTGTTCAGCTAGACTATCTGTAATTATGGGTGCAATACATCGTCTTATAAATTCATAGATTCCAAGTTGTGAAAAAAACTGAACCTATAAATCAGAAAAAGAAACTATACTCACTAATGTAACTTTATGAAAATTCTAGGATAATGGATAAAAAAGAAATTACCAATGCTGAATAATTTTCAGAATCTGAAAGGAAGTTTTCAAAAACTTCCTTACGATATTCTGCTCCACATTTTCCCACTTTGGAATTAATTTCTAACAACAGTGTCTGTATATAATAGATATATATTATATAACAGTTGTGGATGGCAACAACAACTAGTACCTATTTTGAATGTTTCACCTAAAATGCATTCATTAGGTACACTAACAGTTTTAAGAACAGCTCAGAAAACTTACCTATACTGTTTACATTGTTATTTATTAATTCTAGGGCGCTTTTCGAAGTTGATGGAATAGGGCTCTTTTTAGAAAAATTACTGCCTGCTTGGAAATCTGTAACAGTGAAATTTAATTAGTATTGACATAAAAGTAATAAACATTAATTAAATACATTATAAATAATATTATACTACCTTCCAAATTACTGCACTTTTCTTCAACAAGCTAAGAGGATATCCAAGTTGGTGGAGGAGGTAATTTTTTGGATTTTTGCCTAGAGGCTCCTAGTCAGAATATTATAATAATCCAGCGAGTCTGAGAGACTCCATGTCACTGTTAAAGTAAAACTTTTTCATGTCACCAGTTATACATACATACCTATATACATTAAACATTTCCTTGGTAAAATTGTCATAAAACTTGTTATAACTCCTTTCATAATATATAATCATTCAAAACAATCCCTGAATGAACTTTTCCACCACAATTTTTAATTTTGCATATCTGTTTCAGAAGTACCTACTTTTCTTTGACCGAAATCTTGTTTGAAGTTCAAACTTTGAACGAAAGTAGGTGAATCTCATTTAAGAAAATACGATTTTTTACGAAAAATGTGAACGAAGCCTTACGCCTTTGACGTTTCAAAAACAACGTTGCCACACATTTTAGACCCACCGCGCTTTTAAATTTTAGACCCATCGAGTAACTCGATTCGAGTTTAGATCTCTCGTGTTTGGGTGTCACGAAGCGTACCCTTATTGACAATATTTATTGTGTTGCCAACTTTTAACTAGGAAATTTTGCTTCTATCATAGAAGTTCTATGGCGTCTATTACCATGGCTTGCAACGTTGCCATGTTACTGATTTAAATATTTTAAGTAGAAATTAATTTTATCTTCATATTTTTTATAAATGTACCTATTGACATTCCTATAAAATAGGTATTAGGTCTGGTGTGGATATTGTATGGTTTTGATGCATGAGTATAAGTACGTTTCTAATTTTATTTTATTACTTTATGAATTAATACATTTCTATCTTAAATCCCGTTTTTAAAAGCGTAAATTATTTTAAAAATTGACTTATAATTTGACATAAACAATAAAATACGATACTAAAATTTGGGCAAATAATTTGCCAATACCTATATTGGTGTCAAAAGAAACAAAAATTAATTCAAACAATCTTGTGAATGTTATGCTTTAATTTAAAACTAAATAGTTAATTATTAATTCCTAATTTATATACCTATGTTTTAAATAAAACTTTAGTAGTGGTAATTTTATAATTCAATTCAACTTATTATTATAGCTAGTATAGCTTTAATTCAGGTAGTAAAATATTTTTCATTATATACCTCATTCAACATTACTGTTACCTCTGCCATTTGGTTTGTGTACCCTGTGAAGAGTGGACGTGTCGGTTTGTTTCTGCAATAATTAATATCCAAACAATGGCATCAAATGGGCAAACAAATGGTACAGTCAGTGATGATCATAGAAAATTGTTCGCAGGTGGTTTAAGTTGGGAAACAACAGAGACTCAGCTTAAAGAATACTTTGGAAAATATGGCGAAATTGAAAGTATTAACCTTAAAACCGACCCAAACACCGGCAAGTCGAGAGGCTTCGCTTTCATTGTGTTCAACAGCGCAGACGCAATCGACGCCGTGGTTAATGCCGGCGAGCATACTATAAACAACAAAAAAATCGATGCCAAAAAAGCTAAAGCTAAACAAGGTAAATTATTTGTTGGCGGTTTAACTGCTGAATTGACTGATGATGACATAAAAAACCACTTTGGCCAGTTTGGAAGCATTGTGCAAGTTGAGTTACCTTTTGATAAGGTCAAAAATCAAAGAAAAGCGTTTTGTTTCATTACTTATGAATCTGAGCAAACTGTAAACGATATTCTAAAAAATCCAAAACAAACAATTAAGGACAAGGAAGTAGATGTCAAAAAAGCAACTCCAAAACCTGATCAAGGTAGAGGAGGTTTTGGTGGATTTGGAGGGCGTGGTGGTGCCCGTGGTAGAAGCAGAGGGGGTTATGGAAATCAAAATTGGAACCAGGGATATGGGGGGTATGGTGGTTATGATCAAGCCTATGGAGGTGGATATGATGCATATGGAGGTGGTTATGGTGGGTATGGATATGATAACTATGGAGGAGGTTATCAAACAGGAGGTAACCAAAGAGGTGGTGGTCGAGGACGCAACCAAAGACATCAGCCATATTAAATACTTTTTGTGACTTTGTTTAATGTAAGTTGTGTATTTAGGCAAATAAGATCTGAACATTTTACTTTCTATTTTAATTAATATTAGACAAATTACATACATAGTACTTATTCCATTTTTGTAAAGTAAAAGACTAAATGCAAAGATTTCATGATGTTTCAAAACAAGTATTTAGAATTTTGTTTGCATTAATTAACTAAAGGTTTTGTAGTGTAGGTAGTAAATTATTTGGTTGTATGCATTTGTCTCATAAAATGTTTAAGAAATCATAAAACTGCTGTATAATTTTAATATTGAATTCCTTTAAGTAAATTTATTAAAAAAATATCTTGTATTATTATTAACTATTGAAACGACTTTTTATTATTATGTAACTCAGGAGTCCACATGAAAATATGTACCTACATATATTTATTTTTTGTATGAAATAAATGATTTCTATGATTTTTGTGAATAAATTTAAAATATCTACCCACTAAAAAATTGGTAAGTAAATTGAAAATAATAGTAATATTAAATTCAGTGAAATTTGTAATAGGTTTATTTGGAACAAAACATGCTTGTTTTACATTTTATTTTGCAATTTAAATTATTGTAAAAAAACAACAAATGGAAAATCATCAAAGAATCAAAAGTTGTAAAGATTGTCTTTTTTTATTTCAACTTTGACGCATTTGCTCATATTGGTAGTCAATACATACATTTTTAATATACCGTAAACACAGTTAACTTTAGCTCACTTTCAAACTTAAGCCTAAAATTTTTGTGGTTTTGACAATCATAAACATTAAATATTGTATACCAAAATTTGAGTCTTGAGTTGCTCTTTCATAACAACTATGTTATAATAAAAATAAAAAATAAAAACTGGGTGTGCAAAGTTACCCCCTGGTTGCGGGTAACTTTGTCTCACAGTGTATTTTCCGTATAAAATTAACTCAATATTTTATTTTTATTAGACACATGTAAGCAGCGACATCCAGCGATTGCAAGGGTCTACCAATAAAATATTAAAAATCGACCTGTAGTTAACAAAGGATCATAATTCCAAAGGATAGCGCATAATATAGAAATTGTAACGTGTGTATTTCTAAGAGTTGCACTTTTCTTTAAAACACTGATTTTCCTGTAATATAAACTCAATTGACAGGTTTAGATCAACAAATTATAAATGTTAATTTTATCGAGCTCGAAAAGATTTTTCATAAAAGGGTTAAAGTCACCCGCGGGGTGCAAAGCCACCCGTGTTTACGGTATTTAGAAAAAAACCTGCTTGTTTTACATTTTATTTTGCAATTTAAATTATTATAAAAAAGAACAAATACGTTTTTTGCCTAATGTAAACATTGTCTTTTTTTATTTAAACTTTGACACATTTGCTTATATTGGCAGTCAATATAATTCTTTTTATAATACTTACTTGAAGTTGTTTTACATACATACCTAAATTTGAATATTTACAAATATAATTTTTGACGAACCATTAACAATTTCAAATTAAAATTATTAAAGGCCATATGGGGCTGTCCATTAATTATGTAAGGAGATTTTTTTGTGATTTTGACCCCCAGTCCCCTTGTTTCTAAGATTTTCAAGAAACCCTCGAATTTCACGTTGTTAGGATAAACATACCGGACAACAATCGGGATTTCCTGGTGAAGTCATGATGATATCACAACGTGATTTTTTTATATCCTGAGTGCATACACATGCTTCATCACAGTGATATCATGTAGAACTCACGGTGTGATATTTGCAAAATTTGCGCATGCGTATGAGCCCTGCGAACTGCGAATTTAAAACCTAGTTTGTTATTCACATTACACCGTTATAATTTATAAAACGTTGTTTGATTATCATGAATTTTGTCCGGGTTCAATTAAAAAAGATATTCCAATGTTTAACAAAACGTGAACGTTTTGTTAAACATTGGAATATCTTTTTTAATTAAACCCGGACAACATTCGTGATATTCATACGAATATCATGTTGTGATTTTCACAAATTTTATTCATGCGGACATCATCCGGATGTCACTGCGTGAGAAATGAAAATCATGTCGTGATTTTTTATGCCATCGCTGTTTGCTATTGACCGATGGCCTAAAAAATCATGTCGTGTTTTTTTATGCCAACGGTGTTTGGATAATCATTTTTGCGCCACGTTCGTACCCTAAGAGAAAAATTGTGTTGAATCAACAGTTTTTGCGGTTAAATACATTTAATATTTTCTTGGATTTAAATTAACTATATATAGCTAATTTAAATCCAAGAAAATATTGAATGTATTTAACCACAAAAACTGTTGATTCAATATATATATATACATGTATATGTAGGTATACTTTTTCTCTCAATGTACGAATGTGGCGCAAAAATAAATATCCAAACACCGATGGCATAAAAAATCACGACATGTGCACCGACATGTTTGGATATTTTTTTTTGCCCCACATTCGTAAATTGAAAGAAAAAGTATGTTAACAATTGAATTAACAGTTTTGCGGTTAAATACATTTAATATTTTCTTGGATGTAAATTAACTATTAATTTAAATCCAAAAAAATATTGAATGTATTTAACCACTAAAGCTGTTGATTTAATATATATATGTAAGTATACTTTTTCTCTCAACGTGTGGCGCAAAAATAAATATCCAATGGCATAAAAAACCACGACATGATTTTTTATGCCATCGGTGTTTGGATATTCAATTTTGCGACACATTCGTACAATCTTAACAATTGAATCAACAGTTTAACATTCAATATTTTCTTGGATTTAAATTAACTATATATTAGGGTGTCCCTTATTTTTATTTTTTTTACGCATACCCTCTAATTATATTTATTACGTGTTTATATACTCCCAGTAAAAATTTCAGCTCATTCTATAAACGGGAAGCGTATTGTATTTGCCTCAGCGTTACAGAACCGGCCGTAAATACTACCATGCGATTGGTCACAAATTTCCGCTACGACGCGAACGCCACCGCCTATACGGCAATTTATAAAATTGCCCAATGCGCCTCCTTTATCAGCAGAAGATAAATATGCACTTGCAAAATTAGCTTTAGGTGATGAACTAAAGTCAGAAGTGTCATTTTTTGAGGGACTAAAACCAACAAATGAATATCAGAATTCTGAAGTTAATATCATGTTGTCAAACAATGCCATCTCAAATATTACCCCAGATTCAATTAACAATTGCTATACTGAAAGTAATATTGATATTCAAAAAAATGTGATGTTATTACAAGATAATTTAGGTCGTATTCATGACCTTCTACCCAGGACTGCAGTTACTAATAAATATTTATTTCAACTAAATAGACAATTATCAAAAATTACTTCTGATCAACAAGCATTAAATTTTTTAATAGAAAGTAATAGCCTGTTCCGTAGAAGAAAGGGAGGTTTAATCAGTGTTGCCGCGCTGAATTTCTAAAATGTACTGAGCGGAAGCAATAAAATGTACTAGATTGTACTAGATTTACAATAAAGTGCAACATTGCCGTTTTTCATAGAATGTACCTATTTTTTTGCACTGATGAAATTAAACAATTATGTTTTGCAAAGTATTATAATTTTTTTAGTAAAAAATATAAAAATATAAAAAAACAAATAAAATATTATTTTATAAATAAATGTGCATAGTATAAAATAAATGCGAAAAAAAACTAATATAAAAAAAACAGAAAGCTATAATAAATAATATATTATTTCGTATGTGTTTTATTAAAATAATTTTTATTTAAGTAATTCTACAGGAGGTTGCCACTCCCAACAAGTTGAATTTCTAATAACCTCTTTGGTTAAAAGTAAATTATGGCATGTTGCCGTTTCCAACAAATTTCGGTTTTTTCTTTTAATAAGGTTAAGGCCTAAAAATATTCTTTCAGCCGCAGCGCTGCCATGTGGTAAACATAATATATTTTTTAAAAAGAAATATAAATAAGAAAACATATTTTCATTTAAAGCGTTTTTTATCAGTCCCAGTTCGGTTACAAAAGTTTCTATATCCATATTTTTAAATTTTTCCAGCGGCATTTCGGAAAGCATCCGCCATTCTGAATTAATTTCTTCATATTTGTCCGCGCGAATTATATTAGGGAAATACTTTACAAGGGGAATTATCGAACAAACTTTTTTCTATCCAAGTTAATTTTGTGTACAGGTCATTATCAAAAGGAAATCTTTGTTTTATTTGAAGAGCCAATTCTATATAAAAATTTAAACAGTTTATGCGAAAATTGTGTAATTCATTTTTATCTATTTGATTGTTTTCGATTATTGCCAGTACATTTACTCCAAAATATACACTTTCTAAAGGTAAAAAATTAGTAGGATCTTTAATATGGATTTTGTCAATATCCGTACTGTTAACATAATTTAAATTCAAATAATTTTTTAAAATTTGTTTGTATACAGAAGAAATTCGGGGAAGCAATTGATGTAAACGGGGCTTTTCTGATTGGAACTCGATATTAATGCTGTTAATTATTTTGAGAATATAAGATAAAAATGATAAATACATTTTTGTTATTTTATTATTAAGTTCCTTTAATATGTTGTTAATTTTTGCGGAGGATGCCTCATAAGCGGTTTCGGTAAAATATAAAGTAAGAGCATTGTATTGCTCTAAGACTCTATCCACAACTTGTTGTAGCGACAACCACCTTGTTTCTGAAAGTCTTAAAATTTTATGAGGTTTTAGTTCACAAAAGACCTGAAACTCCTTTAAAGCATTATTTCTTTTAGAACTGTGCGAGAAGTGAGCATAAATATCTTTTATTAGTTCGTCTACTTCTTTTGGTATTTTAGCACAAGCATAAGATGAGCATAAATTAAAAGAATGCGAGCTACATCCTACAACAACCAAGTTTGGCAACCTTTTTTTTAAAAGAGCTTGAACACCATTAAGATGTCCCATCATTGTAGCACAATTGTCCGCTGCAAAACCAACCATATGTTCTATGTTAACTTCTGATGAGGTAAGGTAATTTGTAAGACTTTCATAGATTGAGGCAGCTGTAGAATTATTCTCAAGCTCAAGTAATCCTAAAAAGGCATCCACTGTCTTACTATTTTTAAAATACCTTACTAGAACTGCTAAACATTTTTTTGTAGATATATCAGTGGTTTCGTCGATAATAACTGAATAAAAATGTTCATTTAAATCAGCAACAATTTGTTTTTTAGCGTATGGACCAATGCATTCATTAATCAATTTTGTAGTTTTAGTTCTGTTACAAGTAATTCCGGCAGCAATTTCCGAATCTGGACAGATGGATTTGATAAATTTCGGTAAATGGTCCATGGTTTTAAAGGAAATATCATGCTCGGCTACAAAAGCCGCCAGTTTTAATTCTCCTACTTTTATCAGTTTTTCATTCTTACACAGAGTTTTTTTAATGTTACGTCTATATGAGGCTGTGCACTTTTCATATTTTTCATATGCAACTCATTTTTGTCGTGTCTCTTTAAATGGGACCGATTCCCTTTTATTTGCTTATTGCAAACTTTGCAATAAGGGTAACTATTGTCGGGGCATTTTTTACACCATTTAAATTCTGTCTCCCAGATAGAACAATATTTTTGAGCATACCTGGGCTTCTTTCGCCGTTTTTCTGTCAATTGTTCATTTGATGAGGAGTACTCACTTGAGGTTTTGTTACCTTGGTCCAATACATTTGTCGATGTTGATGGCTGATTCTGCTGATCACCAGTAGAATTTTTTAACTTTTTTACATACCTTTAAATTAAAAGATTATTAGTATCTAGGAAAAAACAGCTGTATGGCGATTTAAAGCGTTATATTATAATATATGTTATATATAAAATCATAACAAGGTAGTTAAATAAATTTATTTGTTTGTATGAATATTAATAAAAAACTAAGCGTTACAATAAAAAACGATTACTTACTTGTCCATGTTGGCTAAAATATTCCTTTTGTTTTACTTTACAATTTATTCTTATCACCTCGGAGAGCAAAATTCTCCTATTCAGAACTGTCCAGAACTGTTAGTCTGACTAACTTAGCCATGCGCATAACTCTAAAGTGATGTGTGTATTTCGTTATGCGCATGATTCTGGAACGTTCATTTCGTAAACCCGAACAAACCTAATGACTGGCAAGTTGCCACACAAAATTCGATTTCGCTACATTAGGTTTGTTCGGGTTGCACCGGCAACGCCGCACTTTTTATGTCAATTAAACTTGACGTAAGCAATGCGATGTTGCCACACAAAATTTGATGTCGCGTTATTCAAAGTAAAAAATTGCCGGTGTCGTTTTTTCGGTAATTCTCCATTATTTTTCACAATGTTAAAATGTACTAGACTAAGGGACATTTGTAAGAAAATGTACTTTTGTACTGAGTTCTTCAAAATGTACTAGATTTAGTACAAATGTACTAGAACGGCAACACTGGGTTTAATCAAGGTTCAACCTACATCAATATCAAGAAGACGTAATGGGGTGTCAAGGGGGTGTAAAAGACTTAACAGTGGTCGTCCTTCTTTATCAAAAAACAAAAAAAATAAAAGGAAGCATAATCTTTCAGAAAATGTAAAAAAAATATGTCAAATGCAATACTCCATTAGGAATTTAATGTATAATTTTGTCCTTTAATTGTATGTAAATCTGTTGGCCGATAAATTAGTTTTTATTTATGTTCTTGGTTTGTGGGTTTTTCATAACATTAATCTTCTGTCAAATCTAAAAATTGACAGAATAAAATGTAAACATTTTTAAAAAATCCTCTGCATAGACTATTCAATATTTTTTTGATAACAACATTACAACTTGTTAAAAAGATCTGCCTCTGACAAATTAAATTAAACATACCTACCTACATAGAGGCATTTTTCAATAAAATGACATTTTATTATCTTTGTCAATTTTCAGTTTCTACAGAAAAATAATGTGATAAAAAACCCATAAACAAGAATCTAAACTTTAATCTATCTAGATAGGTACCTACTATTTTTATTTTCCATTGCATTGTATAAAAATGTGCAGGTTATAATTTTAAAAACTATTTCTAATTTTACCTTTTTTATTTTTATTCATTTTCATAAACTACCTACAAGCAATCAAACCAATGAATTTTCTATTTAAGAAACAAAATATATTAATGTGTCTTTTAAGTTACGCGGGTAAACTATACACCAATCGCATTGTAGTATTTACAGCCGGTTCTGTAACGCTGAGGCAAATACAATACGCAAACGGCGCACTGTGGGCCCTATGCCCAAACTAGGTTGCAATAAGTCATTATTGAAAATGTATAATTTGCCACTATTGTTTTATTAAAAACATATTCAAACTTGTAAAAACATAATTGCTTTTTGAAAATACTCTACGAACACTTTTTTATAAATGCCTAATGTCAGATCTTTAAAAGAAAGTATATTTTTAATGCAATCGTTTTAATTAAAACTACGATTTTTGCGATTTTTTTTTAGCTTAGAGGGCCGTGAAAAGCAAAAGTCGTCTTAAACATTTCATAACTGACATTAGACCTGTCAATTAGTTGTGTTGGATACATAAAATTATAGAAAATTCGTGTTTTTTTTTGCTTTTGGCAAGAACTGATAAGGTAATTAACATGAATATTTAATTTTTTATGTTTTGCAGAGTAAAAAAATAGGAAGGCCAACGAATGCCAAGCCAAAATATATATTTTTTATTAGACAAAGATGTAGACTACTAAAAACTGTTAACCAAAAAAATCGCAAAAAATCGCGAAACTTATCCCAGTCAAAAATGTAAACCTCTGAGAAAAGAAAATATTACCAATTAATATGCATCTTTAAGTTGTTTATCGCATGTATTGCTTGGGCAATGAGCAAATTATATACTTACATGGCGTTTAATATTTGTTAAAAGTGTTTACGCCTACTTATTCTTTTTATATTACATCAAGGTGGCCTAGATGCATTGTTAAAAATTACATTTATGTCCAGAATTATGTTAAGAATCCGAGAATGAAAATTTATACAGGGGTTTCTATTTAATTTTTTGAACCTGGACCCATTTCCGGTGAAACCGGAAGTGACCGAAAAAATATGCGAAAACCCTCCTCTTTATACACCATTTACCTCCCTATTAAAAATGCCATATAGAAACACAAAATAAAAATCTACTTATATGGTTCTATCTGGTTCAATATAGGAATTTGAAACAGGCATTGCACTATTGAACCAGATAGAATTCCATACCTGGAAAACCATATAGAAAAGTGATTTCTATATGGATTGCCATATAGGTTCATATTGCTCTATCTGGCCCAATATGGTTTGGGTGTGAAAAAAATAATTACCATATAGATCCATATTTAACCATATAGGGGAATCTATATGGTTTAATATGCAATTTTCGTTTAAATATATATACATTTTAAAATGGAATTCCATATTCAACCATATAGGGAAACCTATATGGAATGACACATAAAACAGAAACCAGATAAATCCATATAAAAATCCCTAACTTGTACATTTTAAAATGAAATTCCATATTAAACCATATAGATTCCAAAGTGTAAACCAGGTCGTTCCATATAGGACATATAGAACCATATAAATCCATATTAGTTTCCTTATCTGGATCAATATGGGTTCTATAGGGCATTTTTAATAGGGCTATTACCAACACTCTGTATTTCACTTTTTATCTGCTACCCCTATTAAAAATGCCCTATAGAACCCATATTGATCCAGATAAGGAAACTAATATGGATTTATATGGTTCTATATGTCCTATATGGAACGACCTGGTTTACACTTTGGAATCTATATGGTTTAATATGGAATTTCATTTTAAAATGTACAATTAGGAATTTTTATATGGATTTATCTGGTTTCTGTTTTATGTGTTTTTCCATATAGGTTTCCCTATATGGTTGAATATGGAATTCCATTTTAAAATGTATATATATTTAAACGAAAATTGCATATTAAACCATATAGATTCCCCTATATGGTTAAATATGGATCTATATGGTAATAATTTTTTCACACCCAAACCATATTGGGCCAGATAGAGCAATATGAACCTATATGGCAATCCATATAGAAAACCCTTTTCTATATGGTTTTCCAGGTATGGAATTCTATCTGGTTCAATAGTGCAATGCCTGTTTCAAATTCCTATATTGAACCAGATAGATTTTTATTTTGTGTTTCTATATGGCATTTTTAATAGGGACACGAAGCAACTGCGTTGAGTCAAATTGAACTATTTTCAGAAAAGGAATCTCTAGATTTATATGTTCAATAATTTTCGGGATAAAACATAGTAACTATCGCGATATATCGATAGTATGTATGCAGACATTACAAAATAATTTTTTTCTGGCTAAACCGCTCATCCAACTTTTACAAGAGACAAAAAGTTTTTAAACAAAGTGAGCAACAGTAAAAAAAATACAAACGAAAATTAGTACCTAACCTGGCTTTTCTGATTATTCTAATTTTTAAAGATAACTGAGTGTAGTACCAAACGACGTTAATTGGCAGTTAAAAGTTACATTCGAAAAATATTCAAAATTCATTAATTCGTTTTTAAGATATTTAAAAAAATAGTTATTTTTTAAAACTTTAAAGGCCTCTAACGACTAAACTAAGCAACTTAGTATATAGGTAATTTGAGTTAAATCGACTTATTTTGATCCGTAGATAACGTTGGCATGGTTTGTTACACTAGTTGAATTTTATAAATTAATTTCCAAAAATACCAATGTGGCAACACTGGAAAATGAAAAAATAAATTATATAATTAATTACCAGCATTGGTTAGTCTCAAAGTTTAATTATTTTTAAAGTTTTAAGTAAATAGAAAAAAAATTGAATTAATGCAACCTAGTTTGGACATTGGGCCCACAGTGCGGCGTCCCGTGCCGACTTGCATCTGAACCCTCCGTTAGCCAACGTTAGTCGCGCGGTATTTTGTAACACGGTTGGTCGCAAGGTCTTCGATCGTAAGTCATTTTGTGTTTGTTATTATGTGACCCTTATATTATAAATTATTGACAAATGTTAAAATATAGTTTTATTTATGTGTATACTTTGATAAAAATGTATATTTTCACAGGGAGTGGCTAGTTACCCGGAAGGGTCTGGTGAATAGGCCGTAAACTCTAAAATTGATAAACTTAATGGGTTTTACTCTAAATAAATAAAAGAGTCTATTGTGAGAGATGACTACCGAAAACTTATTGAACTGTCTGAAATATTTTTGGGTGGACACCAAGAAAAGAAATGCTTATAAAAAGCTGAAATTTCATATAAAAGTATATTTTAGCAATACTAATTATATTAATATATTTAAGGGATAAAATCAACTAAATTAGTGAAACAAATGATAGAAACAAAAGCAATAATATTAATTAGTGTTTCGTGTTACAAAATACCGCGCGCCTAACGTTGGCTAACGGAGGGTTCAGATGCAAGTCGGCACGGGTTCCCGTTTATAGAATGATCTGAAATTTTTACTGGGAGTATATAAACAAGTAATAAATATAATTAGAGGGTATGCGTAAAAAAATAAAAATAAGGGACACCCTACTATATATAGTTAATTTAAATCCAAGAAAATATTAAATCTATTTAACCGCAAAAACTGTTGATTTAACATAATTTTTCTCTTAGTTACGAACGTGGCGCAAAAATGATTATCCAAACACCCTTGGCATAAAAAATTACGACATGATTTTTTGTGCCATGGGTCAATCGCAAACAGCGATGGCATAAAAAATCACGACATGATTTTCATTTCTCACGCAGTGACATCCGGATGATGTCTGTATGAATAAAATTTGTGAAAATCACGACGTGACGTTCGTATGATTTTCATTTATCACGCGGTGACTTCCGTATGATATCAGTATGAATAAAATTTGTGAAAATCACGACATGATGTTCCTAC